GTAAAAACTATTCATTTATATGAAACAGAAATTAATTTTTCAGTCGCTTGTTCCATTTGTTGGGGGGGAGCTGCCCTAAGATAAAAGTCTTTCTCACAATAAATCAGTCTATTTCTCAGAGTCACAGATCAGGAGTTTGAAAACATACTGAGCAAAACTACTGTCAGGTATAAATCAGGGTATAGCAGAGTAGTTTTCTATGGCCTGGGTAACAGTATATTATCAAAGCAATCTCATTTGTAATTCTTAAAGTCATAAAGACTTAATGCTAGAATGGACTTTAGCTAAGAGTTGAGGCTTCTTAGATTATATGGCTATGAAGAAAAAGGATTAGGTCTTGCCTTCAAGGTACTTAATGGGTAACTGAGAAAATAAAACCTCAATTTAACATGCTGCAAAAGAATTGGGATAGAATGAAGTATTCATAGTATATTCTCTCATGCAGCATACATGTGCATATAACTAATCAGTTTTTACAATTCTTAGCCAGCTTCTATCTAAGAAAGAGTAATGAAATGCATGCCCATAGTTACATTTAAGACAAAGCATAAGTGATCATAAAACATTACCCTAGATTTTTAAAGGTGGAAAATTAGCTATTACATAATTTTCACTCTATGAACACTCTACATAGTTAGGAAAAAACATCTTTTCAGAATGAAATTTTAATCTTTTTACATCATCAGTTTTTAAAAGCTTATTTCAGAATCAAAGATTTATGTAAAGATAGACATTGTTGTATTGTAAGGTAAGTGCAGAACTAAACTTAACAAAATAAAGTATGTGTTTCATAATATTTTTCATATTGTATTTCTGTCTAACATAACTAAAAAAGATTTCAACGATGAACAGAAATGACATGAGTCAGAAATCAGTGAATTTGTATCCTGGTTTTGTCACTGATTAGCTATGTAATCTTTTAAAAGTCATTTACGTTTTCAGGACATTTGTAAAGCAGAGGTAATTAGCTCTCTGTGCAGTGTTGTGAATCACAGGATAAAAGATTTTTGAAAGTGCTTTGAAAACTTTTAGATGTAATACAAAACTGTAGATATTATTCAGAAAATGAAATACTAGTACCCAGAGATTTTAAGATAAGCTGTTTTACAGTACATGAACAAAAAGAAACTTCAATTTTTCTTATGATATTAGAAATATAATTTTAAAGGTTACATGTATCAATAATTCTATTAAAAGTAAAATTTTAAGGAGACACTAGAGAAGATTTTGTATTAAAATTATATAAATAGTATTTTCTTCTACTGCTTATTAAAGTATTTGTCCTTTGGAAAAGTTTCTTCTCCAAATTTTTCTTCAGACTTATGAATATACCTGACATAAAATGATAGTGTACTTTTTGCAGAAATCCCAGATAATATTTGGATTGGTGCTATCCAGTCATTAACAATGAGTGCAAAAGTGATACAGACGAGTCCTTACCAAACCTATTAGCTTCCTTCTTACTCCTTTATAGTAATATCTTCATATTGGCTTTCTTGTCATCATTAATGTTTAAGTGCAGAGTCAGCTCACCAAACCATTTTCCATAGTGACTGAACCATTTTATGAACAAAATTATTCCCTATTGTCTAAGCTAGATCATGTCACACATTTAAGTTTTTAGTATTTATGGTTTGGTGATTTTGCAAAAAAAATTAAATATAAAATTATCAAATGAGTCCACAATTATTCCCCTAAATATGCACCACACAGAACGTGCAAAAAGGTATTCAAACAAATAGATGGACATGTACATCCATGGTAACACTATTCATGATACTCAAAAGGTAGAAACAGCCTAAGTTTCCATTCATGAAAAAGAGGATAATCAAGCTATGTATGGCATATGATATCATTTATCAGCCACAGACAGGAGACAAATGACTGACACGCTACAATCTGAATACATTCCAACAAGACTAAATGAAAGGGCCAGTGATGCAGCTCAGCGGTTCTGCTGCCTGCCTTGCACACAAGAGCAAGGACTACAATTCGGCCTTACCAAGACTAAATGAGAGGGACCAGGAGAGGGAAGGAGGAGGAAGAGGAGAGGAAGGAATGACAATCGGAAAGACAAGAAAAAGATACATGAAAATGACTTCAAAATCGGAATAATTAAGTATGGGGGAATTACTGCCTATAAAGGAATATTAAAATTTCAAAGTTTTTCAAAGTTTCAAGTTTTAAAAGTATAATTATGTGACAGTTTTGTGCTTCTGAAATGTGATCATAACACACACATAAAGTCTCAGACTTCAAATGTACCATGCAAGTACATTTTCTTAAATGTTACTTTGCTCACATGTCTTTCAAAAATATATCTCTAATATTCATGGCTGAGTGTTCTAAATACAATTTAATTCCAAATTGATGGTATTATTGATGTTCACCAATATAATCATAACAATGCCATAGTTAAACATAAAACTGTCTAATGGGACTCATGCTAGAGTAAAAGACAAAGTATAATCAGTAGAATTTCTAAATAGGAATACCTCCTAAGTTATGGCAACTATAAGGCTAAAAATAAACATGGCCTAAAGAATATAAATTAGGGGATACTGTACTACTCATTTTTCAAGTTCAAAAGTTCAGGGTATTTGCCTTGGAAATTTAAGCGAACTCAAATGTAACAAAAGATGCTGCCAGATCTTCTTATCCCCTTATTTCAGTTTTAGAATGAGGCTAGACTAACGTTACGTCTAACCATGCTGGACGCACACTGTTCTCATCTTTTCTCCCCTTTATTTTGTTTCTATGTTTATTTATAATGAATTTAGAGAAAACAGAAAAATAGAACCTAGAAACTGAGTTCTATAGTTGAGCTCGATCTCTATATTCTATGTGTCCCACCCTGACCATCCATTTGCTTTCCCTTTCCAAGACAATGAGTTCTCATAAAAATAACCTGGCGGTTTTTCAAAGGGGTATAATATATTACATCATATTTAAAACAATATATGCATGGAAAAGTATCAAAAAGCACAGTCTGGTAAAAATAATTACAGAACTAGTGGAAATGAAAAGTAACAATGTTTTCATGAAACAATTTAGTACAAATGTATAAAAGGCTTTCAAAATATTAATGCTCACTAACCTCATAAACTCATTTCTATAGCAATCAATGCCAAAAAAATAATCTAAAATAGGGAATGCACAATATATAAGATGTTCATTATATTGATACTGGTGAGAAAAAAATTGTAGAGGTGAATGTTTAACAAGTTAAATGACTAAACAATGCTACCCATTTTAACGAAATTTATCCTTTGTTATCAAGGCCAAAGTAAGTTTTTAATTTGAAAACTGTCATAAGTTTTTTGGTTTTTTGGGGGTATTGGGGATGGAACTCTGGACCTTGCACTTGCAAGGAAAGCAGCGGAACCACTGAGATAAATCCTAGGCCCCGAAAACTGTCATAAGTTTGAATGTCAAATTTTGAACCTACTCTTTACCCTTGCTAAAATTTAGAATGCTAAATTTTAAAAAACAACAAGGGATGACAACTAGAAGAGATATAAGAAAGCTACGTATTCTGACGTTTGACTTAGACTTATTTTATAATGTTTCAAAGTCATATTAAAAGAATGAAAACTATAAAACTGAAATAAAATTATTTAAATTGTATTAAGGGAAACAAATATCTCCTGGACTAGGCAACATAAACGTTTTCTTTAAAGAGTTAGTTTGTTAATGTTCAAATTATGAACGAGAAATATTTTTTCAATGCAAAATGCTACTGAAGAATGAATGCAAATTATGTAAATGAGAATCATATAGCTTTTAAGCATGTTCAATTTGAGTTAAAATATGAAAAATTCAATGCCAAGCAAAATTTTAATAAATCATTTTCTATGCAATTAAAAAATGAAATGAATAAGTGATATTTAAAGCCATATTGAAGATTTACAAAGATTCAAAGTAACAATTAAAATACATATCACTTTTTACACCTCCATGGTAATTTACTTATATTAGTGGTTCAAGAAAGTAGTATAGATCATTCATACTGGTGTTCCCAATCCTTTGATTATGAATACTTTGTTCTTTATAAAGAACTAATGCTAGAGATCCTTGAATCAATAGGCACACAAGTACTTCTCAACAGACACTATCAGTTGATGGTCTCAAATTACCTTTGAGGTTAAAACAGAATCTCATTTTTTTCCAGCCAAAAATTATCCCTTTGTGAATCTTCAAAAGTGGATAATTTTAAGAAATATGTCCTATTCCTGACAACTTATTTATTTGAATAAATTACATATATTTTTAAAGCACATTAAGATTTAAAGCACATAAAGTAAAATATCAGTATTTTTAAAAATTTTGGATCTTAGACATTTTTTAACAGGTAAATTGATGCCTACATGAAAATGAACATATCTAAAATCAAAGACATACCATTATTATACCTCTACAAAATAAAACCTATAGCATTTTAAGATTAGGTGGTATGAGGGCTGAGGATTTAGCTTAGTGGTACTACACATGCCTCTCAAGCACAAGGTCTGTAGAACATATACCCCAAAGAGTTAGTCCAAAATAACTGAAGGAATTATTATTGATTATTGACACTGACTTCACTTCCTCTAAAACAAGGAAAACCTTAACCTCATTATTATACCTTCTACAGAAAAAAAAACATGATTTACAGTCTTAAATACAAAATGTAAAACTATAAGAAAACATAGAAGAAAATCATGTAGGTTGAGTAAAAAAATACACACCACCAAAAGCACAGCCATTAAAGATACAATCACTAAATTTGACTTCATCAAACAAAAATTAAAAATATACACAAATTTATCAATAAAAGTACAAAGAATGATCACTTAGCATATACTACAGTAATATATATTTCAGGTAATACATGATATCATCCATATCTTACACATTTTTGAGGATTAATAAAAATAGGAATATTTTCTTTGACTCACCTATAGGTGTGCTACAAGCCTAGGATTCACTTTTTCACTTAATAAAAGCATATCAACACTTACCAGCAGCTTCAAGAACTAGCTGTAGTCTGGCTTTGGCCTGTTCAGCTGGTGGCTAAAATTCAATCATAAAACATTTATAGGTCAGTTCTAATAAGCAGAGCTTTAAATAATTATATGTGCTACTGAAGCAAGCACTGGAGCTTTAAATTAATGCACTGTTATGTATGAAAAATTTAGAGAACGTTAGCACAATCAACATTAATAACCATTTAACCTTAAAATTCAATCACAGTAGTACTAACAATCTACTGCTAACCATTGTCAAATCACATTTTTCATCAAATAAGATTAAAGAATGAAGCTCCTTCTTTTCTCCCTCTCCCTCTCCCCTGTCCCCTCTCCCCTGTCCCCGGTCCTTCTTTCCTTTGGTACTGGGGACCGAACTCTGGGATCTTGTGCTTGTGTGGCAGGAGGCAGAACCACTGAGCTAAAACCCTGGATTTGAAATTCTTTTCTTTAATGAAAGAGTTTATTTTCTATACATTATTCCAACCAGTAACAACATAAATAACTGCTGATTTAATAATAAAGCTAACATTACAACTAATGACACATTCTCAAGTAATTATTTTCCTTTGTATGTGGAAAAATGTGAGTGATTGCTAGAATTGAAATACAGTAGCAACTTGAAGTCTCTTAACTCAGGTAAGGCACACCCTAAAACCAAATAAAAATTTCTGCTTTTTTAACTGAATTTGAAAGGAGCTATGGTGAAGAAGATAGGATAAAATGTAACTCACATTTTTTACTTTCCACTAATGGTCCTAAAATTGTTCTCTCAGTGAGCCTTCATTCAATATGGTTTAAAAGATTGAAACTAAACTATTTCCTACCAAAAACTTCATTCTGACATTTTCAGATGATGTATCATTAATGGTATCCAAACTATAACATTGTATCAAGGTTATCACTTTTCTAAAAGGTCTGTCAAAAACAGACCTCTTTAAGTCTCAAAAGCTAAGGCTATTTATTATATATTTTTAAAGATGCCAGCAAGAAACTAGATAAATAACCTAAATAAACTAAACAACATAAAAATAATTTCAGAATTAACATGAAATATATTTGAATATTTTGCTATTTGTAAAAAATGTCTGATTGAAAAACTTGAACACAGAAAAAATAAGCTGTGTTCAGAAGAGATTTAAAAATCTGAACGGTATTTTCCAAGAAATCTGTAAGAAATAAGATGAGAGTGGCAGATGAGATAAGTCAGAAGACAGTGAGAGCCTTTCATATACAGAACAGAGGTTAACAAACTATAGCCCTGGCCCAGCAGCCTGGTGTATTGAAACTTACCCTTGGTCTTTGTTTACATATTGTCTATGGCATCTTTTAAACTCAACTCAAGAATAGAGTATTGGCAGCAGGAATCTTATAATCAACAAAGTCTAAAATAACCACTACTACCTGAGTCTTTAAGAAAAAGCTTGTCAGGGGATGGGGATTTGGCTCAGTGGTTCCGCCACCTGCCTTGCAAGTGCCAAGAACCCAAGTTTGATCTCCTGTACCAAAAAAGCAAAAGAAAAAGAAAAAGTTTGTCAATCTGTGACACAGAAGATGAAGATTTTAAAGAGAAGGATGATCTGATCTGCACTTTGATATATCATTCCAGCAATATGTCTGAGGATGAACTAAAAGGAATTTGACTAGCGGCAAAGAGATCAGGTAGAGGGCAATTAAACAGGTCCAAATGAGATGATGGAGGCCTAAGGTATGGTAGAAGCAGAAATGGTTGAAAAGAGGAATCATATTTCAGAAAGATTTCATTGATTAAATGAAAAGTCTGGATATGAGAGGAGGAATTGATAAAAAGAAGAGTAATTTACATTGTGTTTTTATAGGGAGAATGTATGTAAGCAAGCTTTGTAAAGTACAGAAAATATATGAGAACAAATTAAAAATATCACCAGCCAGATATCAAGAGAAGACTGTAACATCCGCTGGATATAATCTAACCATAATAAATTAAAATGATTATAGGTGACACGTAGTTAACACAGCTATGATGATAAATAGGAAATGACTTTTAACATCAGTATTAGGGAACACAGAGAGTATGGAAAACTAGGACCACTTAGCTCCATGTGATTGTGGTCAAGCAATCTTACAAAATTTGTTAATTCTTACAAAAATGTAAGTCATGATGAAGACAAATACTGGGCAGATGAAAGTAATTCTCAGGGCCAGGTTCAATCCTGAGAGAGACAGCTTGTGACACCTGCTAACCACACATACTACAAACCTGAAACTTTGTGCCATATTACATGACTACAATGGCAAAAAAGAAATGATATTCTGACTAGCAGCTCCTAAGCAAGTTAAGAATTAGAATGTATACTTATCAGAGTGTCCTTAGAAGAGCAAGTGTCCTTTGAAATAAAAATCTTAGATACTTTATTTGTTAAGCGAATTCATGGGAGGGTTTTTTGTATTTCACAGAGAGATTTTTGACAATTAAAAATCAAAACATAAAAAAGTATACAAATAAATTGGGTGCTCAACATCATATAAAATATTAACAACATTGGTGAAGTCTTTCACCTCATGAAATATCATTTCATAGTAGCTCCATCCCCCTCTTATTTATAACCACTATCTTAAAAATATAGTGGCTTCTTAAGGAAAAACTTTGATGGAGCTGGGCATGGCAGTGCACACCTGAAATCTCAGCACTCAGAAGGCCTACTAGGCAGGAGGGTCACCATGAATGAGGTTGAAGCCAGCCTGTACGACACAGTGAGTTCAAGGTCAGGCTGAACTATACAACGAGGCCCTGTCTCAAAAAACAAAACAAACAAAAAGACTCTTGATGGTTACTGCCTAAAAATATGCTAATAAATATGTTTTCTAATTATTCCCACAATATATATAATAAAGGACCCAGAATGATCCTATTCTAAATACTTCTGTATGTACAGATATACCTTTCCAAATTTTAAGAAAAATTGATATGAACTCCAATTATAGGGATAAATATATTAGATTGACTAGACTTTTAACAGTAACCTGCATTTTATAAATACTTTTACTTTGCTTAGAATCCCAGCACATATATTTTTCTTAGACAAGATATGCAGCCTGTGTTCTCAATTTTTGTGCACCTGCAAGTATTTTTTTTTCACTGTGATCAGAGTATAAGTTGAATAAATGTGGGATAGATGGGTTGTAGTCACCTACTCCTTAAATCCTTCTCAAGGACTACCCTATATAGTACTGTTTCTGGACTTTTGTTTGTCTTAGAAAAGGGAAAGCATCAAAATATCCATGTGGCTGGAACACTCTGGGTCCTACTTGCTTATGTGCATCAGTAACTACTTGGTTCAAAAAAATAGCTCAGTGAGATATGGGAATTTATTTCTTTCCCTTCTGCTTTATTTCTTTGTTTGAGACAGGGTCTTGCTTTGTAGTGCCGGCTGACTTTGAACTCACTATGTATCCCAGGCTGGTCTTAAACTCACAGTGATCCTCCTTACTCAGCCTCCCCGTGCTGGAATTAGAGATGTGTGTGCCACCTTGCCTGGCTAGATATGGGAATCTAGAGAAAGCAATCTGACTTCGTTTACCACCATCATTCTGATTACTGTCTAAATAAATAATACAAAGTTTTAAAACATTTTACACTAATGCAGTTTTAGTTAAGTCTCATCACACTATCAGTCTTAGAAGGAAAATATCTTTGGGGCTCGAGTCCCAAAATACTTAAAGTTTTAACATGCATAAAACTGTAAGATCAATATGAATTTCATCAAAAATTGGTAAATGGTATTAATGTTACTCAGAACCAGAAATTATACCTTACAAAGTAGAAACAAAATCTTTGCAGATAGGGAGGGATGGAGGGGTTGAAGGGAGTGCAGGAGAAGGGGGAAAAAAATAAGAACTGAGATGGATTATATAAAGGTACAAATTTCCATGATGAATGTCATTATATTGTATACCTTAAATGTACTAATAAAATTAATTTTTAAAAAATTAAACATATTTAAGAGCACAATATCACAATTGTGCTGTCTGAAGTGAATCTATGTAGAAAAACCTCTATTTCATTAAGAAACAATATTACTTAAATAAAAATTAGTAAGTCCCCAAATGAAAATCAGTTGAGTTGCGAACTTTCACAGGTCTGAATGGACCTCTCATAGGAACATTCGCAGATGTGAAAAAATTGCAGAAGTAGCTCACTTGTCTGCTGCACACTGACAATGACACTGACACTGATGCTCTATGCAAAAGGGCGCAGTAGTACAATGCTCAGTCAGAGCCCAGGATGTGTGCAAGCAAGAGAAAAAGCAGTGCTGATGTGGAGGACTGCTAGGAAGTGCACAGCAATAGACATTGTTTATTTCTGTCAATGGTGTAGAAGACTCACGTCAGATTTATGGACAAATCTAACGAATGTTCTTTCAGACTGGAACTCATTCTTAAGTCTGGGACTTATTGCAGTGTATAGCTAGACAAAAAAAACTATATATAAGATACAAGCATTGTTCCCTTAGAAACATGTTTTGGTGTTGACATTAAAGGGCAATAAGAAATATGACATTTTACAGTAAGTTTTTTAAAAGTCTGAGTTAAAATTAATACTGATTGTTTATGGCATAATAATAAAAATAACAAAATCATTGCAGATACTGTATAGCTTTAATTCATTTAAAGTAAACTGTAGTTCGGCTAGAAATTCTCATTATGTTGCTAAATTCTTTTCATTCAGGAAGTTTCCATTTCCCTCTTGTTAAGTAAGGTAGGGATTGTTGTGTATTCTTTTTGTATGAGAACATATGATAGTATAAAAATGAGGATAACATCCAAAAACCAGAAAATCTAATCCTAATTTTACTTCTCATTTTGTAAAATGCTGAAAGTTATGGTAATCCTTTGATGATAAGAGAGGGAGCTCGTAGTTTTTCTACTACTATGGCTTCTTCAGAAATGTTCTATTTGCTTCCCTTCCTTTGGCAGCCAGGGATAACTATTTTGTGCCATTCATGAGCCCTGCATTTAGGTAAGAGTATTCTCTTTTTCAAGAAAAACAAAATAAAGTTAAAAACA